ACAGGGTCTTACAGGGTTTCACAACATAGATCAGACTCGTAGTGATCCACCTGTATTCAGCCTTCCACAGGCTGGGATTACAGGTGTGTGCCACCACACTCAGTCTCAATCACCATCTCAGCAGGCACTGGGGCACAGCTGGCATGGCACACGGGGGACCGAACCCCAGCCGTTGCGCTCTGCCTAAGCAGGCGCTTTAATCTACTGAGCTATTTGGCCAGCCCTAGCAATTGATATTTCTAAAAATTTATCCTAAGGAAACAATCAGATATATGCTAATATGTATATCCATGATAATCACAGCATTATCTATAATAGATAATGAAATAAAAACAAAAAATGAAAAATATTTGAACTATGAGGTGTGATCAAGATGCATGGAAAATATTTGAGGATTATAGTGAAAGGCATACTGCCACTAATTGCCCTCAATATATTCCCCCTCATTTCAAGCAGACTTATTTTATCATTTTTGCCACTTTCTAAAGCAGCTCTTGAAGTCCTCTTTCATGTCTTTATCAGGTGTGATCAAAAACAGCAGTGCTGGCTGCGTGTGGTGTACACACCTGTAAGCTCAGTCGGTATGCAGAAGGCTGAGGCAGAAGGATGTTCAGGGCCAGCCTGGGCTACATAGTGAATTCCTATCTCAAAAATAAATAAATAAAATTTAAAAAGAATACAGAATGCTGTTGCCAAAGTACCACGGAGCAAAACGGCAGGTACATAAAAATATGATCTCCAGCCACCTTACGCAGCAGCTCTGCTAGCTGTGACCCTCGCCTCTTCCCCAAAGTCAAAATAACCATAAAAGGTAAACATTTTGAGTTGATTTCAGGCCAGCCAGCAGCCCTGACAGTACAACCAAATACATGAGGAGACTTCCAGAACACTTTGGAAAATGACAAGAGTGGTAAATGTTTGAAGCAAGACGGGGCATTTTGAGAGATTAGGGATAACGTGGCCTTTACTAAAAGGTGTTTTTTTTGTTTTGTTTGTTTGTTATTTTAGGGTGTTCAGGGTCTCACTACTAGATCAGACTAGTAGAGCTCCGCCTGTTTACAGGCTCCCAAGAGCTAGGATTACAGGTGTGCGCCACCACGCCCAGTCTCAGTTGCCATCTCAGAGTGTCCAGGGGGCTGGGCTAGCACAGCAGGCCCAGGGATGCTTGCAGGTGCTTTAATCCACTGAGCTATTTGGCCAGCCCTTAAAGTTGTTTTTTTTTTTTTTTAACTTAAATATTAATCATAGTTTTCAGTCATACCTCATATCTATACTATGGAATTTGGTGAGTAAAACAATTTTTGTAAAAAGATAACAATGAGAATATATTCAAAAAATAATTTAAAAGCAAGACATAAATGTTTATGTGATTCCAAATCCTGTAAAATGATTTTCTTCTTTTCTGTATCATATTTGAAGTATATATATCAGATAAAGACTCAAAATGTAATATTTTTCAGTCCCCACTAGTGGTCTGTATACAACTCACTGCAAATTTTCACTGGTATCATTAATCTCTTCAATAAAAAACTAAGGGAGGGGCCTGGGGAGATGGCTCAGTGGAATAAGCGTTTCCCTGGCAAGCGCAAAGGCCTGAGTTCAATCCCCGGTTCCACAAAAAAAAAAAAAAAAAAAACTAAGGGAGCTGGGGAGATAGCTCAGTAGAATATGCGCTCAGCGGCACAGGCCTGCCCGGCAAGCAGAGGTCCTCAGTTTAATTTCTAGTACCCAAAACATTTTAAAAACAAGACAAAACAAAACAACTCAAGTCCAGGAAGACTGTTTTCTTTTCTTTTCTTTTTTTTTTTTTTTTTGAATTATTGTTCTCTATTCTTTACCCTTCTTATTTCTGCTGTAGAAAATCCAGATGTCTTGAGTTGTTCACATTCTTTATGCAAAGTTTTAAAGACTTCCATCAATTCTTCATACTAAAAGAGTAAGTTAATAAATTATAAATGCGTGACTAGATCCAGTACAGTTTTCTTAACCAGGTTATTTATTAACTTTACAGTACTTACTTAAATCACTTAATCATAAGAAGAACAGCATTAAAAACACGTCCTTAAACTTTTATACAGGCCACAAAACAGTGGATCTGTGCGATGTGTCCAGCAAACATGCTCCAGTTTCACTTCTAGTCACCCTTCCCCTCATACTCTGCACTCAGCTCTGTCCGTCTTCCCTCAGCCCCTGGAACACTCCGTGCTCTTCCTCCAGCTGACACATCCTCTCCCATCTGAGGACACTCAGAGACTCCCTACCTTAGCCTGGGTATTTCCAGTTCACCCTACAGGCCTCACCACAGATATCACTATTCTCAGAGAAGCCTTTTCTGGCCTCGTACCTACCAAGGTAGCAACTTGTATATCTCGCTCCTTTAGACAGTGAGATCCAAAAGGTAAGAATCATATTCACTGCCTGTGCCCTTGCACCCCTAGAGCCTAGCACAATGCATAAGCCATATACATTTTCAATAGTCACCTAATGTAAGAAATCACAGCTTCACTTTTTTTGTTTTTAGATAGTGTCTTGCTTTTTTTGAGGCTAGCCTTGAACTCACAAGCATCATCCAGCCTCAGCCACGCAAGTGCTGGGATTACAGGCGTGTGCCACCACACCCAGCTTTTTTTTTTTTTAAGAACAATATTTTTGGTCTGGAGTTTGGCTCAAGGGTTGAATACATACCTAGCATTTGTGACATTCCGGTTTGATCGCAAGAACAAAAATTCTTTGTTTGATTGGGAGACAAAAATTTTGAGAAAGTGGTACTTTCTCAAAACACAAAACGGAACAAAAACTCACAACAAATTCACACATACGAGTGTAAGTGCTATGGAATAAAGTATAAAACATTAGCCAGAGGTGTCTTTTTTTAATCAGTTTTTAAAACTCTAAGCCTGGTTTCTCTCTTTCTGCAGTCTGACTAGCAATGTGTCTGAGACTCCAGGACCTGGAGTCAGATAAGGCAGAATCCTTAGCAACCAGGAGTTTTAAGACTTTAGGTCAAACCCCAATGTTGGGCCGGGGAAACAGCTCAGCACAAGCACCTGCCTGGCAAGCACAAGGTCCTGAGTTCAATCTCCAGTACCGGGCGGGGGGGGGGGGGGGGCAGTCCCTGAGTTACAGCAGGAGGAGCAGCAACCTGCACGAGGGGCACACGACGACACACAAAAACGTTTCTGTAACTCTAGTGAAAAAAGTGTACTGACACCTCAAACTCCCAGACCCATTTCTGTCCAATTCAAGGCTGCAAGCCTGGCTTCTTTGCCCTCTTTCTCACAGGGCTCACAGGTTCCAACTGGCCCAGGGCGGTGCTGCATTACGCATGGCAGACCGCTTTTCTCTAACCTGGATGACAAACCATTCAGTCACTTTACTGATCAGCAAAGTGCTCCACAGCCTCAAGCCCCGGATCTTACCTGCCCACAACTGCTAAGCAAAAAACTACTCTAATTTCAGGGTGTCTAGTCCCACACACACACTCCTGGGACTAAAGTGGTACTTCTGCGCAAGAGTCATTATTTGAAGATTTGACTACAGTTAACCATAAGTTGAGACTGTTTTTACCTTCTGGGGTCACCTGGAATAAGACACAGCAATTAAAGGGAGATGAACGTGTATTTGAATGTGTTCGCCTTGCAATCCATTACAGGTGGTTTCAAAATGCCATTTATACATGGTGTACCTGTTTGTTGGTGTCAGTCACAATTTCATCCTGAAGAAACTCACTTGGTACCTCAAGTTTTATTAAAAAACGGGCTAAATATGCTCGTTTCTTCAGCTCATTAGTCCTCTGAAGAAGCCAGTGGAGTACTGGGTAAACTACAGGTTTGCTTCCAATCACCAAGCCCTGGCGGAAGGGGCTCCTGAGGAAAGAAACACACGCACACACACATATGTGCACACTGATCAGTGGAGCTGGAAAAGAGACAGTCTTTGCTCAAAATAGGATTTACAATGTCCTGACGGCTTCCTAAAACCAATTTTTTTTTTTTTTTTTTGGTAGATCCAGGGATTGAACTCAGACCCTTGTGCTTGCCAGAGAAGCGCTTGTCCTCCTGAGCCATCTCCCCGGCCCCCTAAAACCATTTTTAAAAGACAGACCCAAAGCTATTCTTCAGTCAATCTTACATTAAGTAGAAAATCAGAAAAGTAGGCCCTTAATACATCTTTGTGGTATCCAAGGCAGCGGCACAGAAAGCATTCATCGGCACAGGCAGCCTTAGTATGTAACTGGGCAGTGATAAAATTGTGTTTATCTAGTATGACAGAAATATACAATAAAACAGCATTTAACATTCTTGGTTAGGGGCAAGAACGGAGCCACTTAAGACTTATGCATGGCAAAGCAGTAAAAAGGTTGAATTTTGTTTCCTCTGTCTTTGTTTGTCTGAGTTAAAAGTCTCACTATAGTCCAGGCTGGCCTTGAATTTACTACAACCTGGGATGCTCCAACTCCCAGCAATCCTCTTGCCTCCACCTCCCGAGATTAAAGTGTGTGCCACCAAGTCTGGCTTGAGACTGAAATTCACCAATATCCTGAGGCCATCGAATCAGGGAGATCAGGTATAGCCTAAAAAGCCTGACTGTAGCAGATGAAGGTTGGCCAGGATAACATGCTTTTTTGTTCTTGCTGGGTTTTGTAATGCTAGGGATTAAACCCAAGAAAGGTTGAGCTATATCCCCAGACCTTTTCCATTTTTTTTTTTTTTTTTTTTCCCTTTGAGGTACAGTTTTGCTAAATTGCTCAGGCTAGCCTGGAACCTGCAATCCTTCTGCCTCAGTCTCCCAAGTAAGAGTAGCCAGGATTATAGGCTTGCACCAGCACACTTGATTAAGCACCCTTTTCAGAAGGCAATACGTGAACAGACTCTTACATGTCTGCGGCGTTTCCTGGAGGTTTGTATTTAAGGATCCCAAGAAGGCTCAGCATCCGTTTGGCTGTCTGTTCTGGCATCTCCTCTCTGATATCAACAACTTGCTAACAAATAAAGAAATTGAAAAGTATGTCATTGTTGTATATCTAACAAAGAACAATATTTAAGCTCACTGACAAAATTGTTTTTCTTGGGCCTAACAGGCACAATGGTCTCTTCATAAGACAGATTAAGCATGGTGGCCCCAGATTCCAAGTGAGGGAATGCACAAGGCAGATCAGGACTCATATTAAGACTGTTAGCCTTCAGAAAAAGTCTCCCGCTGGTGAGCCAGTACATGAGAGACATGAGCTAACTTGCAATATCATAAAATCTTTCATGAAAGCTTTTTCACTAGGGATCAAATCTGTTTATGTCTGGAAGTAGAGAACTAATTTCTAAATAAAGTACAAGTTGAGAACTTAAGTTTTGGGTTAGCAGAAAAACCTTCAAGATCATTTACTATCACCTGATAAACATGGCAAATAAGACCCAGAGAAGTTAAGTAATTTTGGAAAGGCATACAGCTATTTAAAAACAGAAGAAACTGGTTGTCCTGCCACCTTCTTAATTACAAAGAGAAAACTCTTACCTTTGGGTCAATCTCAGCCAGAACATCATTAAGAACTTGTAATAATTGCATCGGTTCCAGGGAATCAAAAGTGATTAAATTATAGTTCTTCTTAAAAGGCTCCTTATTGAGATTGTCCACAATGAATTTGATTTGGTCACTCATAATTAGGTTTTATGACTTAAAACTAGGGAATATAAACAGACACAAAAAATCCTCAATATTGGTAGCAAAAGTTCTGGGGAAAAATCAGAATTAAGTTCATAGAAATAGGCATGAAAGGTGCAATTCTGCATGGTACATAAAATGCTATGAAAAGGCCACTTGAAAGAGATCAGGGGGCCGGAAAGATGGCTCAGTGGAACAAGCACTTCCCAGGCAAGCGCAAGAGCCTGAGTTCAATCCCCGGTTCTGCCAAAAAAAAAAAGAAAGAAAAGAAAAAAGAAAGAAAAAGATCAGAGTGGGCCAAGGAAATAGCTCAGTAGAATAAGTGCTTGCCTGGCAAGTACAAGGTCCTGAGTTTGATCTGGTACGGAAGGAAGGAATCAGAGTGTGAAGATTTTGTTATAAAAGCTTCAGTATATACTATTTAAATTTAATATCAAAAATTTGTGTATGTACTTCAACTGCAACAGCAATCACCCGAATTAACACAGGAAATGAGGAATATATCCTATTTACACTAATGGTTCTCCAATTTAGCTCCATAATTTTTCTTTTTCTTTTTGAGACAGTGTTTCACATGCAACTGAGGCTGGCCTTGAGCTCACTATGTAGCTCAGGCTGGTCCCGAACTGGCAGCAATCCTCCTGCCTTTGCCTCCAGTGCTGGGATTACAGGTGTGAGCTACCACACCCTGCTTCAGCTCCATAATTTCTATCCAGGGGTTAAACATTAAGTCTGCAAACATGCCTCTACTTTGATTTCTAATTAGCAGTTCACATTTAAAACACTGAACATTTTTAAAATAAAATCTAGATATCTGAGCTCTCTTGAAAATCAGAGCTGGAAAACCTGGGCTCACACTGACGCCTGGCCCGAGACAGAAGCTACACAGGGACTGCACGCTTGCCTGCTGTTTTGGTTTTCACCAAGCACTCTTGTTTCTGTTAGCAACTTAGCACACAGGCAAGGGCTCTGCCACCCTACTGCACACAGGCCTTCACTTCCTTTTGGCTTCAGTGAGGAAGGGAGTCTTCAGCCTTCTGGTCTACACCGCTCCCCTTTCCAACTCACTTGTAGTCTTGTTACTGCATACAAAATAAAGTTCAAACGTCTTGCATTTTCCTACTTTGTAATCTAGCTCTAATTTTTCCTTATTTCCAAACTGTCACCATTGACCCTTTCAAATTCCAGCCACCAAAATAATCACTGCTCCCTTCAATTAATGCTATTTTCTCTGTCAAGAATGACTTCTCTCCCTACATCCCAAAAGAGCAAATTTCAACCATCTTTCCGGCCCCTGGTCACGAACAATTCAAGTTCCTCTTTGGCAAGGGAACTTCAGGGTCCAAGAAGGGTCTAAAGCAGTGATTTTTCCACTAAACTGACTCAATTCATTCTTAGGCCTAAAGCCAGAGAAATGGAAACTTTGGTCTAAAGGAAATCAGGCTCTGGTGGAAAGAAAGATCCTGTTTTACAAATTAAATATCTGATTTCTTAGGTCCAGAAACAGCTTTAACACCAGACACTGCTTTAACTGAAGAATTAAAAATAAAAAGTCAAAAAAAAAAAAAAAAAAAAGGAACAAATTTATTTCAGTGCCCAACCCTAAAAACCACAAAATGGATAGATGACATTTTACTTTACAAGCTCAAGTGACAAACATCTTGCTTCGAAATGTTTGGGTTTTTTTTTTTTTTAAATTGGGTGTGTGGAACTGGATATAAAAAAAACATCAAAATGTAAAGATATTATCATTTCTCTATAACGATGATAAAATTATGAGTGAATAATTAAAACTGTAAAAAGGTAAATCAAAAAAGGACAGGATAAAACCAGTCGTTTACAAAGCTGAGCTTTCCTTTAAACCGTAAATGAAAATTTTTAACACAAGTTTTTAAAAATCCACATTGAAGGTGCAAGTCTTCCACTATTAAAAGCATTTTAAGGAAAAGTCCACGTCATAACCTTCCCACACATTAATTAAATGATTCAGAAATTATCAATCTACTTTCCCACCTCTTTCTGTAACAATAACAACAGCAACAAAAACGCCCCCAAAACAAAAACCTAGATACACGAGTAAAACGTTCCTAGGAAGGGAAAAAGAGATTTGCTGGGTTTCCCCCACCCCCGGTCGGCCACCAGCTTCCCAACGGTCCCCGCCGAGGACCAGGATGCTCTGCACCAGGTAGGCTGCCCGTGCCCAGCGGGCTCTGCGCTCCAAAATTAGCAAAAGCAATTACTCTTCCTCTCGCAGCGCCCCGTGGCCACGCTAATGCACAAGCACTCACCCACATAACCACCCGAGAGGGCTGAGGGGGGGGATTAAAACCAGGACGTGCGTCTTATCTGGCACAACTCGGCACAGCACCGACGCTGCCCTGGTCCCAGGCTGGCCCAAACGCTGACCCGCAGCCTGCTGGGAGTTCCAGAAAAAGTCCTGAGCCCGGGGATGGAGGAGGGGGAACTCGGGGATCCCAACTAGGCCACTGGCCGGGGGCTGCTCCGGGCTGCGCGAGCGCCCATCTCACAGGGGCTCGGCCCGCATCCCGGCCTGGCCCACTAGCAGCCGACCCCGTGACGTGGGCCTGACCCGCTACGCCCCCTCCTCGCGCAGCTCTGGGCCGTGCGGGGGCCGGAGTTCGCTCCTATTTCAGGGTTTGGGGGAGCTTCCGACCGCGAGTTGGCGAGGTTACCTCAAATTCTCCCCGAGAAATCACTTCCCCACCCCCACCCAGGAGGCAACCGCGCTCTAGCTCGTTCCTAAGGACGAGCTCCTCGGTTGCTAGGCTGCGGCGATACGTCACTTCCGGTAGTTGGGCGCGGGCGCGCTCTGGGGGCGGGGCCCTAATTGAGGATCCGCCCGCGCTCAGGCTAGAGCCCCGGGATCTGACCTCTTTCAGAGCTCCGAGCTGTTTGTTGGGCCGATGACCCCGGCTTTGATGCGAGACAGTTACCTTCCGGAATGTCTGTCCCGCAGTTGCAATTTGCAAAATGCTTTACATAATTAACCGCTGCAAAATGTAAAATTTTCTTTTTCATTCATTCATTCATTCATTCACCAAACACCGGCAATGACTTCTTTGTTTAAGGCAGGGCCTTTGGGGCTTCAGATGAAGAAGCATGTGGCCCAGGCTTCAAATTTAGGTTTTTGATGTAAGTATCTCCAAAGTAGGTTATGCATAGGAACAGTTGGAGAGAGTCTGAGAGTCTGGCAGGATTAAAAGGAGACACATTCATCATCGAGGCTTCAGCTTCTGTGTCACATTATTGGGCCACGTTGCCTGTAGTGGGAATTAATTTTTTTTAATACAGTAATTTGTTTAATATGCTGAGAGCAAGAAAAGAAAAAAGTAAACGACTTAAAGCTCCACTTGGCCTCTGAGAGGCTATCTTTGAGCACATAAAGAAATATATTAAATGTCATCCTTGTCTTTATAGAGGTCGTACACTGAACAGTTTGCAATAAGGTCATTGTGCCCACATCACTGATGAAGTTTGGAAGTTCGCTGAGACAGAGACCAAAATGGCACTGACCCCTTTTAGAGCCCTGAGCTATTGGGCCTTTGACCCTGACTTAGATGCAAGACAGTTACCTTCCGGAATGTCTGTCCAGCAGCTGCAATTTATGAAATACTCTACATGATTAACTGTTGCAAAATGTGCATGCTTTTTCATTCATTGATTCATTCATTCATTCATTCACCAAACATGGGCCTCCCCCTCTGGTTTGGGGGAGGTCTTGGTGAATAGCATTTTGGGCCTATCCTTATTAGACTAGAGATCACTATAATTGGTGATATCAGGTGGCAATGAAAAGAAAACAAGTAAACAAAAAATCATATTCTTTTGACCCTGAAAGGAGAGTGTACTGCTCAGACACCTTAGGAAAAACCAGCTGCAGATTAACATCACCAGAGTTACAACAACCCAAATGTAATGATTTATAATACTAGGCGTTTCTGTTTGTTTTGCTTGGTTTTTTATTTTTATTTATTTATTTTTTATTGTTTGGCTTAGTTTTTTGAGACAGGGTCTTACTACATAGCCCAGGCTGGCCTCGCGTTCACAGCGATCCTCCTGCCTCAGTCCCTCAGGTGCTGGGGTTACAGGCCCGTGCCACCGTGCTCAGCTATTAGGCATTTCTTGCTTGCCAGGCGCCATGCTGACTGCTGAGACTGCAGTGGAGGGCAGGACTTAACCTGGCTGCTACACTCCTGGAACTGATTGTCCAGTCCTGGAAGATGATTAAAAAGAGCCAGGACTGAGATAAATGCTATAATAAAAGAATCCAATGATGACAAAGCATAGATAAAGGCTCCAAGTTTATCTGAAGAGGCGAAGGAGCCATACTACCAGGAAAGCATGCTTCTGATACAGCAGCGTGTAAGGTTCAATAATCAAACAGGAAAAAAGAACTTTTCAGGCAGAAGGAGCAGCGCATTCCAAGATCAATCTGATTGCTGGCTGCTATACCCTGGCCGCTTGGAGAGGCTGAAACTTTTCCCAGCTCCTTGATGCTCGAAACCAGGTGGAGAAGTCAATAGTTATATACTTAAAAGTTAGTTAAAATAATCTGGGAGAAACAATACCAGACTGTACAGACATTGGGCAATGAGTTGATTCCATCAAGGGTCTTAGGAGGCCTCCTGGCTTCCCAGGGTCAAATGCTGGGTCTGCTGAGAGTTTTCCTCACAGCTCTGAGCATTCTCATCTCAAAGCATGGCTACAGTAGCACCTCCTACCGAAGCCCACGCAAGGATTGAGTGAGTAGATACAGGGGCAGCAGTCAGAGCAGTGGCTGGTACTGGAAACTTCGAAGACCTTTCACCTTTTTTTGTTTATTTGTTTTTTGTTTTTGCGGAACCAAGGATTGAACTCAGGCCACTGCGCTTGCCAGGCAAGTGCTTATTCCACTGAGCCATCTCCTGGCCCTGTTTATTTGTTTGTTTCAAATGAGGCAGTTAGATTTGCTCCTTCTATGAAAGCTGTGAATAAAGGCCATGGAAGATACTGTGCTTTCCTGGTCCTCCCAGCTCCTCCTCCACCTGTTGCATGTACACTGTGCTGGGTAGTTAGAAGCCTGTCACCCTTGTGAAGTCCATGAGGTGAGGGAATCCACTCTTTGCACTAACCTGGGATGGATGTTGTGCTTACTACGGTGGCTCTCGAAACATCGAGGAGAAAGGGAGGGACAGTCAGCACGCTTCTTGGGGTGCCTATGTTGACAAGTTCATAGTACAAGTAGGGACAGAGAGAAAGAGGCAGAGGCAGAGATACAGAGACAGAGATGGAGATGCAGAGACAGGGCCCCTTTTTGCTACCATCTTGGGATTCCATGAAGGTAAAAAGTTGGGTAGAGTCACTGAGAGCTCTGTGAGGAAATCTCAACAATATTTCACAATGGGGAGGCATTGCTGTTTTGTTTTGCTGAGACGGGGTCTCACTATGTAGTTCGGGATGGCCTTGAACTCTCTGTGTAGCCTAGGCTGGCCTCAAACTCATGGTGCTCCACCTGCTTTGGCCACCTGAGTGCTGAGACAGTATCACGCACACGCGACCACACCACAGAGAGTTTCATCACAACTCACTGTCCCTTGGAGGTTATGTGGAGTCTTCTATGTAAGTACCCCATGATGCCTTTAGGCTGAACTCTATTTAATATGTATTTATTGTGTGTTTGAAATAGTGTCTCTTAGGTAATTCATGCTGGTTTTGAC